TTGGTGCTGCTGGTGTTCGTCCTGCCGCCCATGGTGGCGGCGAGGCTCTGGGGCGAGAGCCCCATGTTGAACGGAAGCCGCCGTCCATCCTTGTGACTGCTGGGAACTCTTAATCCGAATGTGCGCGGCGACCTCCATCCTTCTGACTGCTGGCAGGGTTTCCCGAATGTGCACGGCGCTACGGCGAGAGCCACACTTTGAAAGCGGCCTGCCCTCCATCCATGTAGGTGCAGGGACGGAAGATCGGGGCCACCAGTGATGAGAAAAATAGGAGGCGCGCACCAAGGGGGGGGGAAGGGAAAGGGGGGCAGGCCTTCTCAAGGCGGCGGGGCTCCTCAGAAGCCCTCCGGCCATCTGAGAAGCCGCCTCCGTCCTCGGAGAAGGCCCAGAAGACTTCTCGGCAGGCCCGAGGCCTCCCGAACCTTCGGAGCATGCCCGCCCCCCTCCCCCCCCTGGGGCCTGCCGCCGAAAAGTCTCCAACGAACGAAGGATTGCAACAAAAAAAAAAAACCTTCGTTGGTTCCAACGAAGGATTGCAATCCTTCGTTTTTTGCAATCCTTCGTTGTTTTATTTTTTTGTTTTTTTTGGTTTTGTTTGCAATCCTTCGTTTTGCAATCCTTCGGTTTTTTTGTTTGCAATCCTTCGCCCAGGCCGCCCCACGGCGAGGAGTGGCGCCCGAGCGGCGGGAGGCGGGGGGCCCCTGCTCCCCGGAGCCCGTCCGCCCCGCTGGGCCCCGGAGCGGGGGCCGGCCAAAGGCCCGCGCGGCGCCCCGCGGGAGGGCACCCGGGAGGCGGAGGGCACGTGCGGCTGGCAGGCGATCGAAAGGAATCCTCCTCCTCCTCCTCCTCCTCCTCCTCCTCCTCCTCCTCGGATCGGCGGACATCGGCAGCCGAGTCGGGAAGAGTCGAGTCGGCAGAACTCGGCAGGCTGGTGTGCCTCCGGCAAGGAAGCGAAGCCCGAAAAGCGGACTCCGAAATCGGATCGGATCGGAAGCGGAAGCCGTCGAGATCGAATCGGAATCGGAGGAACCGAAACGAGCCCAGCGGCTGGGTGCACGCGCGGGACGGCCGGAGGCCACTTGCTGGATTCACGTGCGGCAGCCCTGCGTGCCAGGACACAGAAGGGCAGAGCGCTGGATAGGCATGCGGCCACACGGGCATCCAGCTCTCGCCCGGGCCAGGCGCGTCCTGTGAGTCGGGCTTCCTGGGAAAGGAGTGGGAGACCCAGACACTCAACAGCTTGGAAGAAGAAATGATGATGTGTTTCGTCGGTGTCGGCCTCTGGGAGCCGCTTGCGGGCCCCGGGCCGTCAACAAAAACGGCTCGGTATGAGAAGCTGGGCCTGGAAAGAGGGTCAGAGTCTCAAGGGGGCCGCATTGAAAAAATTATGCTAACGGAGTTCCCCACATAAAGAGATTAACGGTTTCGTGGGGCCCATTTTCTTGATGCCCTCCTCGCTTTGGCGGGGCCCCGCTGGAAGGGCTGGAGGGGCACGAAACCATGTAAATAGTATGGTTTTCGGATACCCTCCTCGCTCAGGCGGGGCCTCCCTGGAGGGAGCACGAAACCATGTAAATAGTATGGTTTTCGGATACCCTCCTCGCTCAGGCGGGGCCTCCCTGCAGGGGTGGGAGGGGCACGAAACCATTTAAATAGTATGGTTTTCGGATACCCTCCTCGCTCAGGCGGGGCCTCCCTGGAGGGGTGGGAGGGGCACGAAACCATGTAAATAGTATGGTTTTCGGATACCCTCCTCGCTCAGGCGGGGCCTCCCTGGAGGGGTGGGAGGGGCACGAAACCATGTAAATAGTATGGTTTTCCGATACCCTCCTCGCTCAGGCGGGGCCTCCCTGGAGGGGTGGGAGGGGCACGAAACCATGTAAATAGTATGGTTTCCGATACCCTCCTCGCTCAGGCGGGGCCTCCCTGGAGGGGTGGGAGGGGCACGAAACCATGTAAATAGTATGGTTTTCGGATACCCTCCTCGCTCAGGCGGGGCCTCCCTGGAGGGTGGGAGGGGCACGAAACCATGTAAATAGTATGGTTTTCGGATACCCTCCTCGCTCAGGCGGGGCCTCCCTGGAGGGGTGGGAGGGGCACGAAACCATGTAACTAGTATGGTTTTCGGATACCCTCCTCGCTCAGGCGGGGCCTCCCTGGAGGGGTGGGAGGGGCACGAAACCATGTAAATAGTATGGTTTTCGGATACCCTCCTCGCTCAGGCGGGGCCTCCCTGGAGGGGTGGGAGGGGCACGAAACCATGTAAATAGTATGGTTTTCCGATACCCTCCTCGCTCAGGCGGGGCCTCCCTGGAGGGGTGGGAGGGGCACGAAACCATGTAAATAGTATGGTTTTCCGATACCCTCCTCGCTCAGGCGGGGCCTCCCTGGAGGGGTGGGAGGGGCACGAAACCATGTAAATAGTATGGTTTTCCGATACCCTCCTCGCTCAGGCGGGGCCTCCCTGGAGGGGTGGGAGGGGCACGAAACCATGTAAATAGTATGGTTTTCGGATACCCTCCTCGCTCAGGCGGGGCCTCCCTGGGAGGGGCACGAAACCATCGCTCATACCCTCCTCGCTCAGCGGGGCCTCCCTGGAGGGTGGGAGGGGCACGAAACCATGTAAATAGTATGGTATTCCGATACCCTCCTCGCTCAGGCGGGGCCTCCCTGGAGGTGGGAGGGGCACGAAACCATGAAATAGTATGGTACCCTCCTCGCTCAGGCGGGGCCTCCCTGGAGGGGTGGGAGGGGCACGAAACCATGTAAATGTATGGTCCGATACCCTCCTCGCTCAGGCGGGGCCTCCCTGCACGAAACCATCCCCTCCTCGCTCAGACCTCCCGGAGGGGTGGGAGGGGCACGAAACCATGTAAATAGTATGGTATTCCGATACCCTCCTCGCTCAGGCGGGGCCTCCCTGGAGGGGTGGGAGGGGCACGAAACCATGTAAATAGTATGGTATTCCGATACCCTCCTCGCTCAGGCGGGGCCTCCCTGGAGGGGTGGGAGGGGCACGAAACCATGTAAATAGTATGGTATTCCGATACCCTCCTCGCTCAGGCGGGGCCTCCCTGGAGGGGTGGGAGGGGCACGAAACCATGTAAATAGTATGGTATTCCGATACCCTCCTCGCTCAGGCGGGGCCTCCCTGGAGGGGTGGGAGGGGCACGAAACCATGTAAATAGTATGGTATTCCGATCCCTGTGGGAGGGGCACGAAACCATGTAAATAGTATGGTTTTCGGATACCCTCCTCGCTCAGGCGGGGCCTCCCTGGAGGGGTGGGAGGGGCACGAAACCATGTAAATAGTATGGTATTCCGATACCCTCCTCGCTCAGGCGGGGCCTCCCTGGAGGGGTGGGAGGGGCACGAAACCATGTAAATAGTATGGTATTCCGATACCCTCCTCGCTCAGGCGGGGCCTCCCTGGAGGTGTGGGAGGGGCACGAAACCATGTGAATAGTATGGTTTTCCGATACCCGTGGTATGGTACGGTATGGTATGGTATGGTATGGTATGGTATGTGTGTAGGAACTATGGTATGGTATGGTGTGTGTGGTAGGAATAATATTGTGCTGTATGGAAGATGGAGCGGGAGGTGGGTGGGAAGGAGAGGGTGTTCTGGGAAAACAAGAACCCCACTCAGGATGTGGGGAACAATACGTCGAAATAGGGACGTGGACTCTCGTCGAGATTACTTCTCCTGCTCCACTTGCCCATTGTCATCCTTGTCCGCCCTGTTCCCTCTCGAATAAGAGTGGCGACGGGGAACTCAAAAAGCCCATTGAATTGATAGCTCTCGAGCGCCGTCGATCGGTTCTCGAAGGTCAGCGACCTGACCTGGGAGGCTGACCAATGATTGCGGAGGGAGGAGGAAGGGAGGGAGGAAGAAAGAAGGGGCAACGGAGGAGAGAGGGGGGAGGGAGGAGGGAGAAAGGAGGAAGGGGGAGGGAGGAGGGAGGGAAAACAGGGAGGGTCCAGAGTGGAAGGCGGAGAGTGAAGTGAGTGAGGAGGAGGTGCGAGGCAGAGACGGATGGGACAGAGGGAGGAAGGGTCTAGGAGAGGAGCAGGTGCCTGAAATCGGACTCTGATACTGCTGGAAGGAAAACACAACATTACCCATGGCGATGACCACTACACGGACAGGCGACATCATCAGCATCATCATCAGCATCATCATCATCATCCTCATCATCATCATCACCATCATCATCATCATCATCAGCATCCTCATCTTCATCCTCATCACCGTCAACATAAATATCAGCATCGTCATCGTCGTCATCATCCATCATCAGCAGTATCATCATCAAACTCATCCATCATCAGCAACATCATCATAATCACCATCATCAACAACAGCATCATCATCCTTGCGCCGCTCATCCCCAACCAGTCGTCGTCATAGTCAGCAGCTATGTTACTGAAAGTACTCGATCTTTCCGCAAGATGGGGTGCACCAAGTTGCGAATTTAGCACCCTTAGCTCAAACAGCCTGTGCATAGCTATCGAGGGCAGTCAGCACGATGGTAAGATACAAATCAGCGACGCATGCCGCTGATGGGGAGTCGGTGCTGCGCCCTGGTGCTGCGCCTCAAGCATAGAAGGGAGCAGCCGCCTACTCTTCTCTTGGGGAGGACGAAATTCAAGCTGGCAAAGGGGGGGAATTGAGGATTCGGCTGCAAGTATATGGCTTTCCCGGCGCATCCTGGCGCCGGCGCCGGTCGTGTATCGAGGACAGTGCGCGGCGCCAGGGCCGAAAACAGCTGGGCGCAGAAGCTCTGGTACCACCCTACCCTTTCCCGCGCAACCACCCTTTCGTCCACCATGGTACTTGGAACCTACTGCATCGTCACAGCAAGGAAGTGCTGTCCGAGCGCAGTATCTGCCGCGCGCCAGGCGTACGATGGCGGTCATTACCCACAGGCAAGGGGCACGACGCGACGCAACATCCCGAGGATGACAAACAAATGAAGAGACATCCGAGGTGGCCTCTCTCACCCCGCATTGAACAGCATCTTGACATTCGAGACACCACACCATGCCTCGATGTTGCTCCTGCGAGCCCCTTCGCAAGCGGCGATGGTCGCGCGAACTCCAGAGCCTCCACTCGACATCTGGTCACCCCAGACGTCGTGGATCCAGTTGTCAGTGTTTGCTATCATGGGGTGATCCTTGCAGCCTGTTGGCAAAAATGCGAAGCAACCCAATTCTTTGGGGGGAGGCGGCGGCGCGGGCACCCATAAGGCGACGGCATCGTCCACGTCGCACCACCTGTTGTGCTTGACGGCAGCCTTCCCCTGGCACATGTCCCTGTCGGCAAAATCCTTCGAGGAGAGCTCCCTCCAGGTCGGCGTCTTGAAATTCTGCTTCTCGCAGCCACTCGGCATATAGATGTAGCACCCGGGGGCATCCGGCGCTGGCGGGGTCGGCGGCGGGGGGGCGATGAACAGCATCCGGGCGTCTGTGGTCCCGCACCACGCGTCCAGCAACTCCTTCGCCTCGATCATGCACCGGCTGCGGACTTTGGCGTCGTCCCTCTTGCGCCAGACATCCTTGGCGCTGTACTTGTGGTTCGGACACCCGCTGGGCAGCCAGACGTAGCACCCCGGCTCGGTCGGCCTGCCAGCTACGCGCAAAGAGTGAGCCTGTACAGTCGGGGCCTTGACCTAAGGAACCCTAAATAAGGAACGAGGCCCCCTTTTTCCATGAGTTGAACTTCGATTTCGTATCGAAAACCTAAAGAAAATCCAAGGCAAGCTGCGAAACAACTAAGGAACACGGAGCCCCTCCCCAACGAAAAGGGTTCCTTCTTCAGGGCCCCGACTGTAGGCAAGAGTGGCCTTTGGTGCGCGGCTTGCCGATCGCTGCATACCGGGCGACCAGTGGCCGCCCGAGTGCCCGGTGAGACAGCGGCAGGCCAGAAGCTGCCCCCTGGATCCCTTCCTGGTACGAGACCTATGTTGCAACACAGCAGCAATTCGACCCCTGACTTTCGTCCTGGGTTCGGTTTAGTGAAGTGATGAATTTCGTGGTCCATACGTGGGAAAAAAACATCACTTCACTAATATGGGGCCCCTGGGGCCTCCATGGGCCCTGGGGCCCAAAACTAGTGACGTGATGGTTTTCGGGCCTCGGATCCTGGATGCAAGCGCACCAGTTTTCCGAGCTGCGTCAAGCCGCGGCGACGAGGGGGACCCCCGAAGGCCGACGAATTACCGTGTCTCAGCTTGCCCTCCCCTCTCTGGCCCCCCGCACCAAGGGTCGCTCCAGAAGAAGGGCACTCCTTGCGTGTAGCCAAAGCCTGCTGGGCCCGACCGCTGCAGAGACCGCCGGCACGCCCCCGACTTTCTCGGCCGCCTCCTCATTGAGTATCTGCCTCGTCGGAGCGGTCGGGGCGGGCGTCAAGGGAGGCGCGGCCGCCACGGCGTCGGCGCCGCAGATCTCGAGCGTAGCGCCCCTGGAGTCCAGTCTGCCCTCTGGCCGCCCATGCGTCGGCGGCTTGAATGTGAGCCTCTTCGGAGCGCTCTTGTCCATCCAGAAGCCCGCCTCCTTCAGGCACGGGATTTTCATCGCGGACGTCATCCAGTTGGCATGCACGGAGATCACGTCCGACACCTTGAGCAGCTCGCGGTGGCCCCAGAAGACGTTGCCGTTCGTGAGCCGGTCGCTTCCCGCGACGCCGACGTGGACTCCTGGAAGCTTGTCGAGCGCCTGGACCAGGGAGTACTGCTGGTAGTGACCGTGCACAAACTCCTGATCCTTGAATATTCGCATTGTCGTCAACATCAGGTCATACACAATGGGCGAATCGCGCATCACAAAAAGGCCAGTGTTGATGTCGGCACGGCGCTTGCTAGGACCGACCAAGATATCCTTCATGCCGCGTGTCGCATATGTCTCTGCTATGTCGTCTACAGTCTTGGACTCTATTGACAACATATTATTCGGTGAGAAGACGATGTCATACTCGCCGAATGATCTGGATATGGTTTCGGTCTTACCAGTGGCGACATTGATGAGGTACTCAATCGGGCAATTCAGATAGACAATGTCTGGATCAGAATACGCAACCCATTGTGCCGCCTTGCTCACGGAAAGAAGGGTCAGCACGACATGCTTGCGGAAGACTACCGACCAATATTCGTGCGACCCCCAGGCTACCTCGTCCTCAGAAGCGGCTGACGTCCTGAAGACCTCGACGCATATCCGCCGCTGTGCCTGCACGATGTGGGCGGGTTAGAATGACAGGTGCTGCTCTGTAGGGCGTGTGCATTCTGACCAGGGGGGCCCACCCTCTGCCACCAGACAGCCGCATGCACACCCCCTGCTCCCGAGGCCACGATCCTTCGTAAAAAGCGGTGTGCCTACGTCCCGAGCTTCCAAGACGGCCCAGGCAGGCAACCAAGGTGACCAAGGTGGCCCAAAATGCCTCGAATACAGGTCAAGACGACCCCAAGGCGGCCTGGCCTCAAGACGGACTAAGATGCCTCCAAGAGTGCCCAAAAGGGCCAGGGCCCGAAGAAGACAAAATCATTGACTCCCCTGATGTGTTTGAACATAAGGGGCATTCTCGTCTTTTCGGGCTTCCGTCAGCTCAAGGCGGTCAAAGAAGCCTGCACGATGGCCCGAAGACTGCCGATGAGGCCCCAACGAGGGTCCGAAGATGGCCCAAGAGGGCCCACGGGGGCTCAAGAGGCATCCAAGACGGCCCCAAGACGGCCCAAGAGGGCCTCCCGTGTGCCCCAAGACGGCCTTAGAAGGCCTGTCGACTGCCCAGGACGGCGCAAAGACGGCCCCCAAGCACTGACCATACTGCCAAGAGGACCGCAAGATGGCCCAGGAGACGGCCCAAGGGGGTCCCAAAAGACCCCCAAAGCTGCATCACATGGTGCCCAGAGAACCCCAAGACTGCCATAATGAAGACGAAAGGTTTCACGTGTGACGGCGTTGGCACTCCTCCTCCTCCTCCTCCTCCTCCTCCTCCTCCTCCTCCACTTCCACCTCCTCCTCCTCTACCTCCTCGTCCTGCTACTCCTCCTCGGTGTCCTCCTCCTCGTCATACCATCATCACCATCATCGTCATCACCAGCATCAATCATCACAAACAGCATTAGCATCAGCATCAGCACCATCACCATCATCATCATCATCATCATCATCATCATCATCATCATCATCAGCATCATCATCATCATCATCATCATGATCACCATCAGCATCAACATCAGCATCATCATCCTCACCATCCTCATCATCCTGATCTACATCGTCTCCCTCCTCTTCCTCACCCTCCTACTCCTCATCAGCATCAGCAGCATATTTACCACAACCGCCATCATGATCGTCATCACAATCATCATCATCATCATCATCAGCATCATCAGCATCCTCATCATCCTGATCATCACCACCATCATCAGCATCGTCATCACCAGCATCATCATCAGCAGCATCACCATCATCAGCATCACCACCATCATCATCATCATCAGCATCGTCATCGTCAGCATCATCATCAGCAACACCATCATCATCATCATACTCATCATCATCAGCATCATCATCATCAGCATCATCGGCATCACCATCTTCATCGTCATCATCAGCATCCGCATCATCATCAGCATCATCAGCATGCGCATCGGAATCAGTACCATCATCCGCAGCAGCATCATCATCAGCAGCATCATCATCATCAGCATCATAATCATAACCATCATCAGTATCACCATCAGCATCATCATCAGCGTCAGCATCATCATCATCATCATTAGCATCATCATCCTCATCATTATCATAATCAGCATCATCATCAGCGTCACCCCGATCAGCATCATCATCGCCATCAGCATCACCATCAGTAGCAGCATCATGAGCAGCATCAGCATCAGCATCAGCATCAGCATCAGCACCAGCATCAGCATCATCCTCCTCAGCATTAGCATCAATCATCATCAGCAGCATCATCATCATCACCATCATCATCACCATCATCGCCACCATCATCATCATCATCATCATCATCAGCAGCAGCAGCATCATCATCATCGCAATCACCATCATGAGCAGCACAATCATCACCGTCAGCATCATCAGCAGCACCATCAGAATCATCATCATAACCATCAGCAATATCAACATCACCATCACCGTCATCGTCATCACCATCGTCGTCATCTTCATAATCAACACATCGTCATAATCGTCATCGTCATCATCATGGTCATCGTCATCGTCGTCATCATCATCATCCTCATCATCACGGCTCACACAAGCCTGGAGACACGACGTGTCACACGTGACGGCCTCCCGTGCCCTTTCGAACAGTCGCCACCCAGAATGTTGCACTGGCACGGATAGCGGGACTTGCCGCAGGCAGCTGGATACTTCCACCGAAATCAAGAAAACTCGAGCAGACGTTGCCGCCTAGGCCGACAACAAGAAGAGGGGTATCGCACGGCACGGCATTCAAGCTAAGAATCATGTTCTCGCCCATGCTCAACATGCCGCCGTCCAGCACGGTCACTAAAAACATGCCCTTCTGCTCGCTGGCCTTCAATATGCCGGCCAACAACCTCTCGGCATCCTCTCTTGGCATGCCCCCCTCCGCGGCTGCCTCGTAAAAGGAATCGTAGCTTCTGGCTGCGTTTAACTCGATGGCCAATGGAAGCGATTGTGGAGTTTGCGACAGGCCAGAAACAACCGCTGTAAGCAAAGCGAAGGGCAACGCTACCATTCCCATGCCAGAGCACAGACAGCAATGAAAATGCAAATGCACGAACGAAATTCGGTATGCAGCATGTACTCCCACCTGCCGCCGGAGCCCAAGCCGTTGTGGAAGGAGTACGGGGAGGAGGAGGAGGAGGAGGAGGAGGAGAAGAAGAAGAAGAATAATAAGAATAGTAAGAATAAGAATAAGAATAATAATAATACGAATAATAATAATAATGATAAGAAGAAGCAGAAGAAGAAGAAGAAGGAGACTGCCCCCGGCGCGCAGAGCACAGCACGGGCGGAGCACAAGGCAATCTCCACCGGCTAGATCCCGCAGCTTGGGCGCTCGCTCCGGGGCCCTGCCTGGAGCCGCTCGCTTCACTCGTGCGTCGAGACTGCGCCCCAGAGTCAAGCCAGAATCGAGCTGATCCGTCAGATGGGCCCCAGGAGGGCCCCCAAACACGAGCATGCCAACAGCGGCCGAGAGCCGAGGACACACGCCACGCGCCACCCAGCGGCGCCATCAGAGCCCAGGCTGCTGGACTCGCCCAGCCTGATGTGTGGCCCCGACGGTGGACGCCGCGGAGGTGCTGAAGGTGAGCGAAGAGGGGGCCATGCCAGAGGGCCTCGCGAGTCCACGGGGTTCCAGCGGGCGCCGCAGGGCCCCGGTCTCGAAGCACCAGAGGAGCAACAAAAACTGCATGAGCATCGAATGTCGGAGCTCCGCGCGGATTTCGTGGATTGGCGCTGTGCCCCCCAGCGGCGCCTCTGGTGCCGTCCCTGGCGCGCACCGCGCGCCAGGGATGGGGATCCAGCGCCGATCTAAGAAACCCGCGCGGAGTTCTGCACGTTTGTGCTTATGTAGTCGTTGCTCCTTCTGCGAAGCATGGCGAGGCGAGACAACGGCAGCCCAAAATCGGTCCCCTGAGCCCCTCCCAGGGTCCAAACGTACCAATCTGCCGAGCCGCGTCCAGCCGTGGCGACACGGCCCCCCCCCCCGAAGGCCAACTGACTCTATATCTCAACTCCCGGCCCACGAACGTGGCCGCAGCTACGCAGTGCGCAGCCGCCCAGGGAGCCGCGAGGTCTCAACTGGGTGCGCGTGGCCCCCGACTCCGCCGGACCTCCCAGGAGCCAGCGAAAGTGGCGACGGTTACGCAGTTCGCAGCAGCCACCCAGTAGCAAAGGCACGAGTGAGGGAGGCAAGGCGGCAGGAGGCAGGAGGAGAAGGGATGAGGAGGAGGAGGAGGAGGAGGAGGAGGAGGAGGTAGGAAGGACGAGGACCGGAGACCTCAGCGCGTTATTCAAAACGATAACCCAGAACAGGAGGGTTGGGAGAAACTTCCCAGTGGCCTTCGGCGCAACCTGCCAAAGTTGTACCCATATGGTTTGTCCGTCCAAGATGCCGCCAATATTGCTACGAAATGGCCAACACGGCCCATTATGGTCTAGAAGACAGTCCTACCTCGCCTCCAAGACACGGCAAATATAGCCCCAGCATGGCCCAACCAGGGCTAAAGATGACCCCAAGATGGCCCCAAAAAGACTTGGCTGGGGTCTCTTGGGCTATCTTTGGGACCCTCGGGATCGGCCTACGGGCCAAAATGATTTCAACAAAAACCGAGACGTACCCAACCCCTTCTCCACGCGAGGCGAATATTTGTATAAACGCTCCAGACACAAGAGCACATCGCCAGATATGCACGACCAGCGCTGCCATCATCTCCGCCGTGCATCCAAGCAGCCCACGAAAGTGGCGACGGTTGCGCAGTTCGCAGCCACCCAGAGATCCGCGAGATCTCAAACGGGTGCGCGTGGTCTTCCACCACGCTGGGCCTCCCAAGAGACTACGAAAGTGGCGACGATTGCGCGGTTTGCAGCCACCCAGGAAGCAGCGAGGTCTCATATGGGTGCGCGTGGCCCTCCACTCTGCTGGACCTCCCCGACGAAAGTAGCGAGATTTGCGCAGGTCGCAGACCCGCAGGGAGCAGGGCAGTCTGAACGGGGTGGGCGTGGCCATCCATCCCACTGGACATCCCAGGAGCCCACGAACGTGGCGACGGTTGCGCAATTCGCAGCCACCCAGGGAGCAGCGAGGTCTCAAGGTGGTGTGCGTGGCCCCCGACTCCGCCGGACCTCCCAGGAGCCAGCGAAAGTGCAACGATTGCGTAGTTCGCAGCAGCCACCCAGTAGCAAAGGCACGAGCAAGGGAGGCAAGGCGGCAGGGGGCAGGAGGAGAAGGGAGCAGTTCGCAGCCACCCAGGGGACACCGAGATCTCGTCGGGGTGCGCGTGGCCCTCCACCCCGCTGGACCTCCCAGGGGCCTACGAAAGTGCGACGATTGCGCAGTTCGCAGCCACTGGACCTCCCAGGAGCCCACGAAAGCGGCGACGGTTGCGCAATTCGCAGCCACCCAGGGAGCAGGTCCTCGACCTTCTCCTCCTCCTCCTCCTCCTCCTCCTCCTCCTCCTCCTCATCCTCCTCCTCCTCCTCCTCCTCCTCCTCCTTTTCCTCCTCCTCCTCCTCCTCCTCCTCCTCCTCGCGCATCCTCCTCGGCTGTTTGCACTACGGTCGGGACACTCCCAGGCATCCAACAAACAAGACGGAGGTTGCCCGACGTTATATCGGCATCTCGGGGCCCTCGCCGGGCCCCCAGACCGTCAAAAACGACTCGGTAGGAAAAGTCGGCCCTGGGAAGCAGGTTGGGACTTCCAGGGGCCCCGCACTAAAACAAACTACCCGAGAAGTCCCCTAACCCCTTCTCCACGCGAGGCGAGTATGTGTATGAACGCTCCAGAAAACAGAACACATCGCCAGGTATGCACGAGCTGCGCTGCCCTCACCCCCGCCGTGCCTCACAAAAGTCCAAGAATATGGCGACCGCTGCGCAGTTCGTGACCTCCCTGGGAGCCGCGAGGCCTCGGCTGGATCCGCGTGGCCCCCGACTCCGCTGGACCTCCCAGGAGCTCACGAGAGTGGTGACAGTTGCGCAGTTCGCAACCTCCCAGGGATCCACGTTGCCGAGGAGGAGGAGGAGGAGGAGGAGGAGGAGGAGGAGGAGGAGGCAGGAGGCAAGAGGAGGGGTGAGGAGGAGAAGGAGGAGAAGGAGGGTGGAAGGAGGACTGGAGACCACAATAGTCTACTCGGCGCCCCCCGCCCGTCCATTTTCGAGCTCGCCTTTTTCCGCTCGGCGTCGCCGCTTGTTTCGTGTCCGATGCTGCGCGCCTCGCCCCCAACGAGGCTGTGTAGGCGGTGCACAAGAGTCCCCGAATGCTTTTTGGGACTCCGAAGGACTTCCTCAGGAGTCCTTAGGCTCCTGAGAAGCATCCTGGACTCAACCCAACACAGGAGCGTTAGGGAAAGTGATGGATGCAATGCTGTCCGGATTATTATTGACGTTTCGGTATTAAGAGCGACCACGACGGCTCAAGATGCGTCCCAAGAAAAGCCCGAGACGGTCCAACCACAAGAGGACCCCAAGGCGGCCCCGGGACGACTCCAAATGGCCCCAATACAGCCCCCAAACGCCCTGGAGAGGCTCCCAAGACGGCACCCAAAGGCACCAGATGGCCCAAGAGCTCCCAAAGACGGCCACGGAGAGCCCCAAGGTGCCCCAAGAGGGTCCCAGGAGGGTCCCAGGAGGCCCACAAGAAGGCCCAATAGGCTGCGGAGCCTCAAAACGGCTAAAGAGGCCCCTCCCGAGTGTTCCCCCGAGTAGTTTCCCCAACGACTGGAGGATCATGCAGTCCACCAGCGTGACCGCACTTCCGCTGGGAGATTTACAACCTTTGCGCGTCCGAAAGGCAGGGGGCGGCGGTGACTCACCGTATGCGTCTTCGACAATACTCCCAGTAGCAGGCCCCTGCAACATGATCCGTGCAGTAGCGTGCCACATATAATGTGGTACCTAATTCGTACACCACGCTGGCTGCCACAGGGTTCTGTGCAAGCCCACTCGGAGGCCGCATGGACAGCAGAAGCGGCCTCAATTCCAACTGGGAGGTCGATGTTCGCCGTTCGGGCCCCGACTGGATTCGATCCAGAGTCCGCTCGGCGGCCAAATGGGCTCAAGTGCCGAGTGTGTCCGGACAGGACCTCTGGGTACTACACCGCACCAATGTGCCTCGCTGGCCCACGCTCAATGCGGGTCTGACATCCGACGACCCGAGGTTTCCGGTTCGCTGGCCCGCGGACTTCTATACTCTATGCCCTTCCCCTGGGATCAGCATTCTGTCCCGACACCCGTGCCTAGCCGATTCTAGGGCCCAGAAACAGACCCTGGACGCTCCACAGCGGCAAAGCAAAAGCGCTACGGTGAGGAACGTTTGCTCAGCGTGTCGCGGCGGCAGCCCTGGCGGCACGCTATGCCCCGCGAGCTGATAGCGCGTCGCTCTGCTCCGCGGGGCGGGGGCCGCCCGAGGACCGAGACGTGGGCAGCGTGTCGCGCAGAGGCGCGGTGGGCCAGAACTGGCGGCGCGACATCCTAAGCAAAAGTTCCTGACCGTAAGCCTCCTGCTGTTTTTCTATCGAGAGGAACGATTTTCCAGAAAACTGATTACCCTAGAGCACAATTCAACGACAGAGAGAAATGCACGTAAATAGTTGCGGGGGCTCTTATCCGCTTTGCACCACCGCACCACTTCGAGGCTGACACTTTACATGGCGAATGCTTCAGCTCCACTCAGCCGTCCAATCCACCTTCCACTTCCTCCTTCGACTTCCGCCTTCGAATTTCAGACGACGCTCGGGCGTGCCACCGCCACCAAAGGGTGGGTCCCCGATGGTTTCTCGGTGGAGGTGATCTCTGCTTCCAGACATGCGATGTCTGGGCTTGTTGAATACGCGGCCCCCGAAGTCCCGACACTCTCTGCAGGGCCGGATTCTCGCCCTCAATCGTTTTTTGACGGTCACGGGGCCCCGCGAGGGCCCCCAGGCCGAAAGCGGTCAAAAACCGTTTGCCGTGTTTTAATCGCGACGCAAGGAGGTCAGGGCTTCCCCTTGGGGCCGAGGCTTCTGGCCGATCTCGGCGGCATTGTCAAGATCAGTCAGCATCAAACGGGGAAATCGGAACGACCCGAAATCTTCGTCGGATCGAGCTGCATCAGCACGGAGTGGGAATCGAACCTGATCGGCTGCGCCAGGATGCACAGCAGCGCCACGCGAGCAGCGGGCCCCATCGGATCGTTGGAGCATCGGCACCGAGCCGCCTCGGGCCCGCCAGCACAGAAACCGCATCGGACCGATCGAATCGACATAGGCCCTGCTCCGCTGGCGGCAGGGCGGAGGTCGCCGGGGGGCTCCGCCCGCGGGGCCTGCGCGCAGCACGAGGTCGGCCGCGAGGCTGCGCAGGTGGGCTCGGCCGGCCTTCGGGGGCTCCCGCTGCGCCCCAACCAGCTCGAGAATCGACTGTAGGGCTTTCCAGCCATCCTCGCCCTCCTCCTCCTCCTCCTCGTCCTCCTCCTCCCCTCCTTACTCTTCGTCCTCGTCCTCGTCTTTGTCCTCGTCGTCCTCCTCCACTTCCTCCGTCTTCGCCGCCTTCTCCATTTTTTCCTTATAAATCACTTCTCCCTGTCGCACCCCGAAGCAAGTTTTTGGGGCGGGCCGGGCGTTTCGCCTGAGACTTCCTCACCAATGATGACTCTGAAGCTTAAGATTGGCAGCACTTTCAGATAATGGCGGGTCGTTTTCAAAATGTGGCTCTCGCCTTAGCGCGGCGCAAATTCGTTCACCAAAAATTGCAAGAGCTTCACGGGTTGAGGGCGGGTCGTCTTCAAAATGTGTCTCTCGCTTTAGCGCGGCGCATATTCGATTTAAAATTTTGCAAGAGTCTCACGGATTGAGGGTGGTTCCTCTTCAAAACGTGGCTGTCGCCTGAGCGCGGCGCGCATTCGTTGGAAAAATGGGCAAGAGTCTCACGGATTGAGGGCGGCTCCTTTTCAAAATGCGGCTTTCGCCTTAGCGCGGCGCACATTCGTTTTTTTATTTGCAAGAGCTTCACGGATTGAGGGTGGCTCCTTTTCAAAATGTGGCTCTCGCCTTGGCGCGGCGCACATTCGTTAAAACAAATTGCAAGCGTTCCACGGATTCCCATCACCAACGTGCCAGAAATTTTGTTTTGAAAGGATTCAGGATTATGCAGGTGCAGCAGTTATTTTGATTCGCTGTGTTGAAGTCCCAGGAATGGCGTTCTGGCACGATTCAGTATTGTCAAAACGCAGCAATCAGGTTAATCAGTAACCTTAGAATACCGAGAACCATGTCTTAGCATGCTTCAGGGTTTTTCAACGGTTGCCTTCCAAACAGGCAGTTCCTTCAGTGGAAATGCACCGTTGTAGGAGCCTCTGAAGAGGGAGCTTGGAGGGATGTTGCATGCCAACATCGTTGATGTCTATTCGGTTTACACTGGTCTTCCTTCTTCTCCTCGTCCTCGTCCTCCTCCTCCTTCTTTTCGTCGTCCTCCTCCTCCTCCTCCTCCTCCTCCTCCTCCTCTTTCTTCTTTTCGTCCTCCTCCTCCTCGCGCATCCTCCTCGGCTGTTTGCATTACGGTCGGGACACTCCCAGACATCCAACAAACAAGACGGAGGTTGCTAGTCGTTTCGGCATCTCGGGGCCCTCGCTGGGCCCCCAGACCGTCAAAAACGACTCGGTAGGAAAAGTCGGCCCTGGGGAAAAGGGACTTCCAGAGAGCCCACATTAACAAAAAACTGCCCGAGATGTACCCAACCCCTTCTCCACGCGAGGCGAGCAGTTGTACGAACGCTCCAGAAAACAGAACACATCGCCAGGTATGCACGAGCTGCGCTGCCCTCATCCCCGCCGTGCCTCACAAGAGTCCAAGAATATGGCGACCGTTGCGCAGTTCGTGACCTCCCTGGGAGCCGCGAGGCTTCGGCTGGATCCGCGTGGCCCCCGACTCCGCTGGACCTCCCAGGAGCCCTCGAAAGTGGCGACCGTTGCGCAGGTCGCAGCCACCCCGGGAGCAGCGAGGTCTCAAATGGATGCGCGTGGCCCCCGACTCCGCTGGACCTCCCAGGAGCACACAAAAGTGGCGACCGTTGCGCAGCTCGCAGCCACCGAAGTAGCAGCGAGGCCTCGCCTGGGCGCGCGCGGCCCCCGACTCCGCTGGACCTCCCAGGAGCGCACAGAAGCGGCGACAGTTGCGCAGCTCGCAGCCACCGAGGGAGCAGCGAGGTCTCGCCTGGGTGCGCGTACAGTGCGGCCCCCTGTAGCCCAGGAGCCCACGAACGCTGTGACAGTTGCGCAGGTCGCAGCCACCCAGGGAGCAGCGAGGTCTCAAATCGGTGCGCGTGGCCCCCAACTCCCCTGGACCTCCCAGGAGCCGACGAAAGTTGTGACTCTTGCGCAGCTCGCAGCCACCCAGGGAGCAGCGCAGCTCCGCGGGATGGGAGGCCCGCGAAGGCTCGGGCCGTCAGCGCTTGGGGACCAGGGCGTGGATAGCGTTTCGCGTCGAAGCGTGGTGGGCCAAAACCGGCGGAGCAACACGCTGAGCAAAAGTTCCCGACCGCATCCTGAAGCAAGTTTACTTGCAGGGCATTTGGCCCCCCCAACCCACCCACCCTCCATCGAAAAGGCGTGCCGGTGAGTCCCGACCTGCGTGAAGCCCAGGTCTACTTCTGAGCCTCGCCACGCTCCCTCCCTCCTCCCCTCACTGCTGGAGGTCCGAGAATCCATGTTTGTGCTGTTGTTGTTGTTGCTGCTGTTGTTGTTGTTGCTGTTGCTGTTGGTGTTGGTGTTGTTGTTGGTGTTGGTGTTGTTGTTGTTGTTGTGGTGGTTGTTGTTGTTGTTGTGGCTGTTGTTGTTGTTGTTGTGGTTGTTGTTGTTGGTGTGGTTGTTGTTGTTGTGGTTGTTGTTGTTGTGGTTGTGGTTGTTGTTGTTGTTGTTGGTGTTGTTGTTGTTGTTGCTGTTGTTGTTGTTGTTGTTGTTGCTGTGGTTGTTGGTGTTGTTGTTGTTGGTGTTGTTGTTGTTGTTGGTGGTGTTGTTGTTGTTGCTGTTGTTGTTGTTGATGTTGTTGTTGTTGTTGTTGTTGTTGTTGTTGTTGTTGAACACTATTACTTCTAAAGAATTATTATTGTTGGACCCCCTGGTGCACGCCCCCCGCCCAAAACCTAGGCCGCAGCTACATTTTCATCATTTTTCTGCGAAAGCTTCAGAAAAGTGGATTACCCCCGGATCCGGTTTTTTGTTGACGCTCGTTTTCCCTTGCAAAAAACAATAGAAAATGAAAATTCTTGTTCTTAGTTGATCAAATTTCAAGAATCCCTTGCAAAAAATAAGGTAAAGTGGACATTCGCGCTCGCAAGACGAAATCCTTCCAAAACCTTAGGTTTCGTAACGATTTTAACATAAAAACATCAAAAACCCAATGGTTTTTTAAGAAAAAATTGTCAAAATGTCCTTCCGCGCGCTCTTGCGGATTCATAGGAGCATGCGTCATCCTTGGGACTGTATAACATCAGTGTAACACATGTACTTCTGTAATCGCATCCCCACGAATTTGCCCCAAAAATGTGACCAACTATCTTGGCACTGCGTACCATCTCACGTGTACCGTGTACCACATCATATGTAACAGATGTGATCAACCTCTGTGGGTGTGTACCCCACGCCAGTGTAGTAGCCAGGGTCGTCCGCACGCCACGAAGTGAAGTGTCCCAACGTCATAGGGCGGGAAGCTGGGTGTGGGTGGTCTCGAAGAGTCGTTTGGATATTTGGTAGAGCTTGAACGGCCCCCCCACGAAGTGGGGGTATTGGCTGGTGTCGCGAGAAAACCCTGGCACTGGGGAGAACACTGAGCGTTCGGGTAAAATGATTGTTGTTGTTGTTGTTGTTGTTGTTGTTGTTGTTGTTGTTGTTGTTGTTGTTGTTCGACTCTCCGTGCAAGCAGACTTGCAGGGGTTTAGCGAAGAACCACACCCGACGGGCACAAGAAAATCGACGGCGAGAACGGCGGTCGATGCGAGGCGGTCGCCCGTGGAGTGGAGGAGAGCTTCGAGCCTCGAGCCTCGAGCGTCGACGACGGGAGCCCTCTGGGCATGTGGGGGGGTGTCTCGTCGACACGGCTGGAGTCGCCTCGAGGTCGTGGTCAAAGCGCGCCAATTTCGAGTCCCAGGACAATCAACAAACTACTCGGAATGAGAGGCCAGCCCTGAGCACAGGGTCGGGACTTCTGGGGACCCAGCACCGGCAAACAAACATAAGAAGAACACCAACGTCGGCTGTCTGACTGGGCAATCGAAGCCAATCTGGCGCCAATCTGGCAGGCCCAATCTGGCAAACGGGGGCAATCTGGCGAGGGAGCCAACGCGAATCCAGTCTGGCGAATAACCCAAATCCTCCAATATGGCCAGGCCAGATTGGCCCTTGGGGCCCAATCCAGTCTGACAGTCTGGCCTTCGACTACCCAGTCTGTGCTTTTCGACGCCAACGGCGTCAACGCCTTCACTCCGGAGGTCTCCTCGGGCGTTCCTGGATGTTCTCACCGCCGCGGCTGGGCGCTGACCTGAGAAGCTGGTCAGGCTGGGCCCCAGAAGGGGCCTGGCCGAGGACGACGGCGAGGACTGGGGGGCGACGGCGGTGATCGAGGACGAGGGCGAGAATCAAGGACGAAGACGAGCACGACGAGGACGACGAGGACGAGGACGAGGACGAGGAGGAGAACGAGGACGAGGACGACGACGACGAGTCCGACGAGGACGACGAGGAGGAGGGGGAGGGGGAGGGGGAGGAGGAGGATGGCAGCAAGCTTCGAGGACCGAGGACTTTGGCCGTGCGTCGCCCTCGTCTTGGGGCCTCTAGGGAGGCTCCTCGCCGCCGCTGCTGGATTTCCCTTCGAGCTTCTGGCTGGCCTCGGGAGGCCCGGTGGGACCCGCGGGCTCGAACGCATCCACGACGACGAGGGCCCAGTCCCCCTCCCGACCACCATCCCCTCCCCCTCCCTCGTTCCCCCCTCCTCCTCCCTCCTCTCTCCTCCTTCCTCTTCCCTCCTCCTCCTCCTCCTCCTCCTCATCTTCCTCCTCCTCCTCCTCCTCCCTCTTCCCCCTCCCTTCTGTGTCCCTCCCTCCATCCACTGTCACCATTTCCACCCCAACGCCCTCGTCACCATCCACACAGCATCAGCGACATGATCCGTATCACTGTCGCCGTCCTCAGCATCATCATCGGCAGCATCGGCATCCGCATCCGCATCCGCATCCGCATCAGCACCAACAGCAGCATCATAACCATCATCATGTCCAGCAGCAGCACCATCATCATCGCCGTCACAAAAATCATACCTCTCATAGTCGTCATCAGCATCTCCATCGGCATCATTACCAGCATGATCAGCATCAACAAGATCATCATCGCCTTCATTATCAGCATCATCAGTGTCTTCATCATCATCGTCGTCATCAGCATCATCATTAGCATCATCATCGTCATCGTCATCATCATCAACATCAACAACGACACCATCATCAACATACTCAGCATCATCAGCACCATCATCAGCAGCAGCAGTACGATCCCCAACGCCATCATCATCATCATCATCATCATCATCATCATCAGCAGCAGCAGCAGCAGCATCATCATCATCATCATCATCACCATCATCATCATCATCATCATCATCATCATCATCATCATCATCATCATCATCATCATCGTCATCAGCAGCAGCAGCAGCAACACCACCAGCAGCGACGCTGTCACCATCATCGAGGCAACATCCGATACATGACCTAACAGATCACCCGCATAAATCTGCACTTTATCTGTCGAAGCACGATGCTGCTCCTACTTCTTACCCCCATTGACTGTAGTCTGACGACTGTTTCCCATCCTGGTGATCCCCCCACCATCCCTCTTGCCCACCCTCCCTCCACCCATCCATCGCTGCCCCCTTCTGGGGCACATCGTCTCCATCCTTCTCCTCAACTTCCTCATCCACATCCTCCTCAACATTCTGACCCGTCGTCCTTGTCCCAATAGTCCTGGGACCTACACTGCGCATCCGCCTCACCCCCGCCCCTCCTCCGGATCCTCCTCCTCATCCTCATTATCATCCTCATTTCTGTTCTCTCCCAGGTCCTACTCTACTCCTGCTCCAACTTCGCAGCCCGCCCTCAGGGGGTCTCCCGGGGCCCTCTCGATGCCCTTTGTAGGGGGGCCTTGGTGCAGGTCTGGCTCACGTCGGTGGCGATTGGGGCGCGAATCCCGCCTCCTCCTCCTCCTCCTCCTCCTCCTCCTCCTCCTCCTCCTCCTCCTCCTCCTCCTCCTCCTCCTCCCCCGCCCGCACCTCCACCTCCACCTCCCTCACACCCTCTCCCCTTGCCCTCCCTCCGTCCGCCCCCTACCTGGAGCACGGCGGACACGGTCGGGTGGCCCGCGGCGCTAGCGAGGCCTGACCCCAGGGGGAGGGGGTACAGCTGGCGAGCGGAAGCAACGACGACGCCGACGACGACGCCGACGACGACGACGACAGCGAGGGCGACGTCGTCCACGTCCGCGTCCGCGTCCACGTCCACACCCACGCCCACGCCCACGTCCACGTCGACGGCCACGTCCTCCTCCTCCTCCTCCTCCTCCTCCTCCTCTCCTCCTCCTCCTCCTCCTCCTCTACCTCTTCCTCCTCCTCCTCCTCCTCCGCCTCCTGCTCCAGCTCCGTCGTCTCCTCCCTCCCCTTCCCCATGTCCCTCTCCCCCTCCTCCCCCCCCTTCCCCTCCTGTTGATGCTGCTGCTGCTGCTGCTGCTGCTGCTGCTCCTCCTCCTCCTCCTCCTCCTCCTCCTCCTCCTCCTCCTCCTCCTCCTCCTCCTCCCCCTCCTCCTCCCTCCTCCAATTCCTCCTCCTCCTCCTCCTCCTCCTCCTTCTCCTCTTCCTGATCATCATCATCATCATCATCATCATCATCATCATCATCATCATCATCATCATCATCATCATCAGTAGCAGCATCATCATCATCATCAGCAGCAGCATCAGCATCAGCAGCAGCATCAGCATCATCATAATCATCATCAGCAGCATCATCATCAGCAGTATCAGCATAATCATTATGTTTAGCAGTGTGATTATCGTAGTCATCAGCTTCATCATCATCATCATCATCATCATCATCATCATCATCATCATCATCATCATCATGATCATCACCAGCAGCATCAGCATCGTCATCACCAGCACCATCATCATCAGCATCATCAGCATCAGCAGCATCATCATCATCATCGGCGTCGTCATCAGCATCATCATCACCATCCGCATCATCATCAGCAGCATCGTCATCAGCACAATCAGCATAGTAATCAGCATTATGATCATCATCGACATCAGAATCAGCAACGGAATCATCAGCATCATCATCAACATCACCATCATACCAGCATCACCATCATTATTGCACCATCAGGATCATCATCATCATCATCATCATCATCATCATCATCATCATCATCCTTGTCATCATCATCACCACCATCTTCAGCAGCATCATCATCAGCATCGTCAGCAGCCTTACCATCATCATCCTCCTCATCATCACCACCAACATCACACTAACCATCACCATCACCAGCGCCAGCATCAGTCTCATCTTCATCATCAACAGCATAATGAACATCATCATCAGCAACATCATGATGATTATTATTACGGCCATCACCATCGCCATCACCATCACCAGCAGCATCATCATCAGCATCACTAACAACAACATCATCAACAACCTCTTCGGCATCAACATCACGATCATCAGCATCATCACCGACATCATCAACATTCTCATCATCATCATCATCACCATCGGCATCACCACCTCCATTACCATCATCAGCAGCATCAGAATCCTCATCATCAGCATCATCAGCATCATCATCATCGTCAGCATCATCAACATTTGCATCGCCATCATCAGCACCAGCCGTACAATCATCAACATGATCACCATCATCGCATCACCATCATCATGATCATCAGACGCATCACCAGACTCGTCATCATCAGCAGCATCAGCAACCTCATCATCAGCATCGACATCATCATCAACATCAGCATCATCGGAGTCAACACCAGCGTAATCACCATCACTATCTGCAGCGAAATCATTAGCATCATCATCAGCACCACCATCATCATCGTCATCATCAGCATCATCGACACCAACACAATCAGTACACAATCACCATCATCATCACCACCGTCATCAGCATCAGGATCATCATCACCATCCGCATCATCATCATCATCATCATCATCATCATCATCATCATCATCATCATCATCAGCATCATCATCGTCATCCACATCAGCATCAACATCATCATCCCTATAATCCTTCCCCCTGCCCCTCCCCCTCCTCCGCTTCCCGCTCCTCCTCCTCCTCCCCCTCCTTCTCCCCCTCCTTCCTCCTCCTCCTTCTCCTGCCTCCTCCCCCTCCACCTTCTCAAGCTTCCCCTCTCCTCCTCCTCCTCCTCCTTCTCCCCCTCATCCCCAAACTCCCCCTCATTCTCCTACCTCCTGCCCCTCCTCCTTCTCAAATTCCCCCTCTCCTCCTCCTCCATCTCCTCCTCCTCCCTCTCCCCTCTCCTCAACTCGTCAAAATCCTCGTCGTCCGCTCTCGTCCTCCTCCTCCTCCCCTCCTACCGCCTCACCTCTCCATCGCCCTCCTACTCCTACTACTA